ATAAGAGACAGAATCTCATCAGTGATAGTGCATTTGGTAAGTTGAAAACAATTTGCAGTTTCTTCGTTTTATCGTTTATATTTGTCGTGATAGTTCTTGATTAAATAGCGGCCTATATGCCGACAATAGTAGCATGAATGCGGTAGGTAGTAGCTTACACTGTGTCTCACCCGTCTGGGAACGGAGACCCCTTTAAACGACGAACAGAGGAAAGAGGCAGATATTTACTGCCCCTCCCCTTTTTAGATTACAGATAAGGTGAAGGTGATGATGTCACACGCAGCTAGGACAATCCCTTCTCTTTGTTTGGTGCTGTCTGCGTACGTTTCTTTTATGTACCATAGTACAATTATAAGTTATTGATCACATGTATATATATTATATATATTATATATATATATATATATGTATATATATATATGTATATATATGTATATATAATTATATGTGTATATATATATGTATATATATAAATCAAGATATATATATATATATATATATACATACATGTGATCTAGAGTGTTTCTATTGTATTGTTAGTGTCGTCCTATGCTATGGTGTTTAACATTAACAGAAAAGACACGACAGCAGCACCTGTATTCTGACGTCATTAAGATGATATCAGCTTTTATATCAAATACAAATATGCCTGTTATGACGTCATTTGAAAAGGTATTTTAACTGTAGGCCTACTATGTACTTAACTTATTAGTATCCTAATTTTCAATTGAGCATTTTTATGTGTAGGCCTATACTTAGACCTAATATGAATCAAACATTTATTTCAGAACTATGGTTTCCATAATGTATGCATAATTGTATATGTTTATGTGGGCTTTGTTTCTATGGTATATGTAAGGCAATAAACTTTTACGTGATCATTCTATAGGCCCTACATAGTGTTTTGATCTATGTTCTAATACAGCTCATCTTTAAGAAATACAAAGGTTTTAAGGATTTAATATTAGCCATAGTTGATTGAACCTATTGAATTTAAACAAAAAAAAAAAAAAAGAACACCCAAAAACGGCAGAACATTATTAGGCCTACGACCTACTCGGAGAATAAAACCAGTGACCATGACTTATACACATAACATAGGCTATGCACATTGGTAAAAGCATGGTAAAAGTAAGCTTACAATGAACGCACAAAGCAATTATAGTGAAGTTTATAGGTTTCTAGTCCTTTGTTCCGCTTTCTTCATCACAATGTTTGTCTCATCTGTTGAGATGTCACGTGATCCGCTGATAGACGGTAATAATAATTAGTTCGGGGCAATCGTGTTTGTCAATGGCTACTTCGTAAGCATCCATCATAATTATTAATCATCTGTCTAAATAATACAGCTGTATTCAAGGCCTTAGTCCTTTGACCTAACAATTCGTTTACTATATTCGCGGACCAAAGCGCCCTTCATCAATAAAACCATTTAACATTACGTCAGTCGTTAAATTACATGCAAATAATCGCTCGCCATAAAACAACGTACATTATTATTAAATGTATTTCATCATGCATTGTAATTATTATGGTCTAGAAGACTAGAATGGATTTGAGAGCAAATTTTGTGTTAAGACCTGTCTATCAGATTGATTTTCGAGTCGCACTCGACTTGCGTTTCGTTAATAGTATTAATTTCCTGAGATCGGAGCTTGTTTCTACCGTAAATAATTGCCGTTGCAAAGATTGTGTATTATCCTGTGGCAATTAATTAGACACTAAATACCAAGTGTTCCATTCATCATGAGCGCAGTGCTTCATTATTTCTGCATTATTACGTTTCGCTGAATTCAAGCTCCTGTCAGTCGGCCTACTCCAGGCAGATTCAATCAACTACCAGGTCATAACAACAGCAACATTGGTGAAAGGGTCAACTACCAGGTCATAACAACAGCAACATTGGTGAAAAGAACAGCAACATTGGTGAAAGGGTCAACTACCAGGTCATAACAACAGCAACATTGGTGAAAAGGTCAATTAAACAGTGCACACGCATTTCTAAATGTCGTAGGGGCCTCCAGCAGGCCTATATGTTGTGAATTCCCCCACCCCCACCCCGTTGCGCGCCGTTTGAGTATAGGCCTATATATGGAGAGACCAAGTTTCAGGAATACGGTAGGGGTCTTTGTAATGTTTTTGCTGCTGTAACGTTAGAAAGAGGAAGTTATTGAGAGGTAAATGGCTCTAATATGAGCAAACTACAGTACATAGACCACCAGTGGCGGCGCCAGGATTTCCTCGACGGGAGGTCCAAGGTCCCCGACGGGAGAGCTGATGTGCCCGATGAGAAAAAAGTATGTGGTTGGGCGTAGCTAAAATCCATTTCGAAAGTAGCCCCCCCCCCCCAAAATATCGAATTTAGCGTCTATTATAACATGTACAAAAATACATATAATTTTTTTTGAATTTTTTTTTCTCAACGAATTGTGGTTTTTCTCCCCGACCGGGGTGGGGGGATGTAGCCCCCCCTAGCACCCCCTCCTCTTTTCTTTGTATGTGAGGGATGATCAGTGGGCACTTAGGCTTACATTCAAATCGAATTTTGCACGTTTTTGCTAGATGATCATAGTTTGGTTTGATGTAAGAATAGGCCTATAACGTGTCCAGAGCTTCCCTCTCTTTACGTTTTGCCTTCGGAAAATGTCAATTCGCTAAAAATTGATACGAACTTCGATAGTAGCCTATTGGACGATAAGATAGGCGGTAGGCCATTGAATTTTTTACGTAGGCACATAGATCTCCCTCCGAGTCCGTATCTCATATATCTGTAAGCCTGTTGTCATTACTTTACGAATACAGTATACCACGGCATAAATGAATACTGTTATAATAGAGCTACTAACCTATCTTTTTTGCATAGAAGCGCTGTGAGACTTGGTTAGCCTAATGATATTTATATGCTTTAATCGAAGTTATAAATAAATAATTCCTAGCAATAATAATAATAATAATACTATTACTCTATGATACTTTGAAAAGTTAACCGGTTTAAAGACCTACCACTCCAGTTTATCGAATAATGATACCGTACCAAAGTCCGTTTAGCTCAATGACCCGAAATGTGAATTAAGCGTGACTTATTTTTACTTACTAAAATGTTCAGTTTTGGCGAGAGAGTATACTGTACTGCGATCTCAATGAAAACGTGTGCAAATATTGACAATCCTTTTGTTGTATTCAAAACAATGGCCTAAAAAGTTAGGTCAAGGTGGCATGTTACAAAATGGGGTGGGGGGGGGGGGAGTATGCCGCACACTACGCCCATCGCTCGGTTTATAATTTGGCAGCCTGAACCGCAAATCGGCTGTCCAGTGTACTAATGTAATTGTAATGAAGTTTAATCATGTAGAAAATACGGCCTACTGGGAAATGCCGTAGCCAGCTATGAGACAGTTGGGACAGTCCCACACAATTTTCCTAATAAGTCCATAAAGAATTTGTCCACATTTTTTTAAAACGGGTCCAAATTATGCAGTTTTATGCATAATTGAGTCCACTTTTTGAAAAATGGTTCCACATTTCTCATTTTTAGCCTAATGGGTAAACTTTTCAGAAAATGGGTCCAGATTTTTCATATTTTTGCGTAAAATGGGTCAACTTTTAAGAAAATGGGTCCTCTTTGTTTGAATTAACGCGTAAAGTGGGTCCACCATGATATTGTCCCCCACTGTTTGAAAATCCTGGCCACGGCATTGCTACTGGGTATAGACCTAGTCGCAACGGCAGCTCTGATCTCATATAGTGGAGTCAGTGGCAGCGTGCTAGCCGGGAATGAGTCATGGGAATGATTTCCAACCCCTTTTGGACAAGCATGGAACCCCGGACTTTCGTCGCCCGACGCCCCGACGAATTCGTCATACTAATTACGATCCAAACAACAATTGATTACCAACATGTGAAAGCACAATCTTGGGTCATAAAACATTATAAAGCATGAATTCCCCAACCTGGTCCAGGGATCTTATTCCAGGACCCAAATATCCGAAATATCCGAAGTCTATCGTAACTTCACTGAACCATGGCCTTAGCAGAAACTCTCGATCAACTCAACGATGAGATTCGTCGTCATAGCAACGTATACTTTGGAATGTGGGTTGGTATGGTAGTGGAAGTGGAAGTGTAGCGACTCATTGTTGTTAAATTTTCCAAATATGTCTATCACTGCTTAAATGGATTGCACGATTCTTTTGTTACGTGTAACTGTTCGCAGCTCTCGTCATCTTAGCTAAAAACCAGTTTTCTGTACACGGATCGGAGCTTTGAAGTGAAGGTTGCTTAGTATTGTTGTGCCGAGGTAGTGTTTAGCAGTGAGTGGAATCCACGGTTTATACGCTTTCATCAAGCGGTCCCTGGTGATTATAGGGCTTACATCTAGGCCAAACGGTTAGAACGGGTTTTAATCGATAGATACAGGTGAGAAACAAGTTTATTAGCCCGAAGGCAGACTCTTGTCTTCCTTTGCTTGATGAATCGTGTATTAAAGCTGGATCAATTTGCATTGTCTGCGAGCTTTATCGTTGCATTTAATTACAGTAAGTCAGATGTGACTTTCGTTGCGACCATCTAAAGGTCTTACTAGAGGTAGTAGTCATATCGGGCCCGTATAGCCTGGACTTCTTAAGTCACACTCGTACGGATCGTTGTTGAATAATTATTTACCGTATTGCCATATCCATAATAGTCACACCCGTACGGATCGCTGTTGAGTAATTATTCACGCCGTATCCATAGCTATATTAATAAACAAATTCTCGATTTGTGTCCTACTTTAGATAGTACCATGGGATATGACATCGATAGATTTGTTAACAGTGTGAACGACGGTCTGCTGTGCTGTATTTGCCGAGACGTGCTAGAAGACCCTCTTCAATCGCCGTGCGAACACGCTTACTGCTCTGAATGCATCCAAGGTTGGCTCGTCCACGAGCAGGTTTGTCCAGAAGATCGACAGACACTTCTTGAATCACAGCTGAAGCCGTTGTTCAGATACATGCGCAACGATCTTAATAATCTTCGTATCCGCTGCCTAAATCGTGACAACGGATGTGACACCGTAACTGAACTAGAGAACCTCGCTCGTCACGAGAGTGCGTGCGAGTTTGGCACGGCGAACTGTCCGAACAAGGGTTGTCCGGTCACCATGGAGCGGCGCGTCCTCGATAGCCATCTTGCCACTTGTGAATTTACCACAAAACAGTGTCCAAAAGGGTGTGGTCTGACGATTCTGAGCTCCGATCACGACTCTCATAACTGTATAGCGGAGCTTAGGACCGAACTTGAGTTATTGCGATCGGAGATGATATGTAAACTAGAAGACCAGCGACATGAAACTAAACTAAGATTAGACTCACAACGAACTCATATGGTGCAGAAAATAAGTGGAATGCAGCAGAATATTGACGAACTTCGAGGTAAGTTTAATTTAATGATTATTTAAAAGGAAACTGACCGTATCAGAGCTGGTCAAGTGGTCATTAATTACTCAATGTGTAAATGTCCACTGTGGATTAGAATCATCCACTCTTTACATCAACTAGGCACAAAAACTCTTAGAATAGTGGAGGTGGTTGTAAAAAGGGCTGTTTTGAGTGCTGAAGTAAAGTGGGTGGTGTTCAGTCCGGGTGCCTTATGTGAAGGGTGTTAAGTGTGGAATGTATTGGAGGTTTTTCGCGTCAACATCGTAGGTGATACGGCAATGAATTATCTTTTAAACAATCTCTGTAATTTTCCATCCGTAGGACAACTTTCGCATTTACAACACGAGGTTCGTCTGCTCAATGCTATGGAGCGGAAGCGTCGTCAAGACATGGAAAGATTGGAGCTAGAAAAGAAAGAACTAATAGAACTATTACAAGCCATTCGACTAGAGAACGAGGCGGGAAAGACCGCCTGCCGACAGTGCAAGAGAAGCGAACGGATAACATCCATATAGGTCCAATATGGTAAGATACTTAATTCATGCCGCTCACAACGTGTGCACTTGAAAAGCTTGATAATAATAATACATCCACAGCAAGCAGTCCTCAAGTATCAGCATATAACGGCCCTGATATATTATTGACATGGTACCTCCATCACATACCGTCTTATTATTGTTATGTCCTCATTATTAAATATGATTTAACTATACACGGACACACAATTACTGTTCAAAGATAGATGCAGAATATCGGAGAAAATAGCGGGGTATGAAGGAAGGGGTCTAATTTTTATATTCTGTTTCTGAACAATCTTTCACGTGTGGAAGGCCAACGACGCCAACATCACTGTTACAATCCCTACTGAATGTTGTGCTTTTTAAGTCTACATTTTTTAGCATGTTTACACCGAGTGCATCATACGCACGACAAAGCAATCTTTGTAATATAGTAAGTTAGGTATGCTAAACATTCATTCTCCCTGAAAGCGTGACACGTACGGGTCGGCAGGGTTACTCATGAATCATGCCGAAGAACAGAAATACATACACGTATGCAGATATATGTCATAAACATGATCGAGTGTAATCCGCTTCGAGAGCGATTCGTTGTTTACATCCAGATAATAATTATGAATGAGACTATTATATCTATGACCAGCCCCGCCCCCCCCCCCCCCCCACACACCCCCCCACAAAAAAAAAATGTCTAATTGCACCAGACACCAAATAGGTAATACCATATTTCTGTCTCTTATACACATCTAGATGTGTATAAGAGACAGTAGCCTTATATCGTGTAAAATTTTCATACGAAAAAAAGAACATCGTTATTATTTACACTGTCAAATGGGGGAGGGGGTGAAGGGGTAATTAAGTACATACTGTAATCCTATACTATATTAAAGCATGCACCTCAGCACAATTAAAAACACGAAGAGTTTCAAATGACCTAATGTATTTTTTTAGATCCATACCGTTGTGAGAGGCAGCTATAATTATAACGTAGGCCTATGGAAGCTCTAAATCTGTCTTTTAATTCCAACGCTATTCGCATAATAAAAACGTAATCCTCTACGGATACATGAACAGGCAAAGGTCAGATTTGCACGAAGGCGCGCTCACCAATCATAGTAACGATGTTATGATTTGAAATATTGTGATTTATATCGAGCGAGTGAAGTACTGTAAAGCCAAAATGAACAATAAAACTGTCACTTTCAATGGAATGTTATACTACAACCTATTAATGTAATGTTTTTGTTGTAGACGTTAGTAGCCTATATATATATGTTATCGTTTTTCCCAACGCTGAATCGATCAGAACTGTTGTTTTCCTTTCCACACGCTCGTAATTTTGTTTGTAAAAGAATATTGTATGACACGTCGTATACCTTTTTTTTTTTCAGATTAAAATCTCCGATTCAGTTTTTACAAGCTCCAACTCAGACGGCTCTAGAGTATTAGTGACTCACAAATTTACATAACAGTTATTTTATAAACCTGCAATCATCCTTCTACGCATTGAAAATATGAACATTCAGAACTTGCCTTCAAGTGATTGGATGTGATACAACACCTCAGCTGATCCTGATTGTGAGTCAAGACCAGCTGCTGATACTCAGGGTTATAATATCTCGCCAAGTGTGGAGCTATACAGTTTCGTATCTAGGGGGTACGCGGGGGGGGGGGCGCACACACCCCTCCAAAAAAATCACGGTCAAGTAGTTAAGAATCACCTTATTTTGCGAATACCTGTAAGTAGCCTAAGTGCGCGTTCATTGATGTACACACACCCCTCCAAAAAAATCACGGTCAAGTAGTTAAGAATCACCTTATTTTGCGAATACCTGTAAGTAGCCTAAGTGCGCGTTCATTGATGTACATTTTGTGTAAGGATGTAATCTTCGTTTCTCGTTTAACAAGCCTTTATACTGTCCATGTTGCGCTTATACACTTAATATAAAATACAACATTTGAAATGCTTCCTTTGTATACAAAATATAATTTTTTTTAAATTGTATACAAAATCAATACAATTAATGGTTATAAAAATTATTTTCATCGCAAAATAACAGATACATAAATAGTAAAGGCCACGACCGATTTGTTGTCGCGGCTGACGCGATAGGTCGGTGTCGGGGACAGTGACTTAGCAGTAGAATCTCTGCATCTCAGGTAGAATATTAAACGTGTTTAAATCTCACGACGACCTAGACTGTCCCCCAACGATATTGCGTCGAGCTGCGTCGTACGAGACTGTCTGGTTTAGCCTGTTACCGACAGATCATTAAAGTGGCTGAAAATACGCTTATTGTCTGTTCAGTTGACGAAAACTTCCATCTGTGTAACATTAGTAATCAGTTGACCCTTTCAAATAAGCAACGATGTAGGAAGGTGTGCCAATCTCATACTACAAGGAAGCTGTACATCAAGATTTCATTTGTATTACACTAGCAGCAAATTTTATTTCAACCATTTAAATTGGTAAACTTCAATCGCTGTACAATATCTATAAAACGATCTTTCAAAGACGGTTATATATTCGTTATTTATTATATTAATCTATTTATGTGCTATGTATTCAGTGTCTGATTTATTTATTAATGTAGCATTTGTAGCTAAGTATTTTAAATGAAAGTTAATGCACACCAAATATCCCACCTTGTTTCTCCATCGCCATTATATTCAATGTGACATTTCTTCCATATTTTTTGATGTAGGCCTAAGTGTTGACATTTTGTATTTTATATCATTACATGTAAACGTTGATAATAAAACAGGGATAAATACAGACTTTTTTCTTTGAAATGTGTAGAATCTACTGATTAATAGAAATGTGTGATGCCGAAAGGACAGGGATCTGCGCGGGTGTTACATAATTTCGGCATTGCCTATCCACCCACCTCCCCATGATTTAGGCCCCTCTGAGAAAAAATAGCTAGCAAATTTGAGGCCATAATGCAATAGAAATATTAATCTCAGATTACCATGAACATTACAAAGGGGGGGGGGTGGGGGTGGGGAAAATTTACTGGGCATGAAGAAGAAAGGGGCTTTGTGACACTGTAAAAAGGAATCGATGCGAGTAGGGAGAGGATGATTTGGAGAACGATGGAGGTAGAGAGAAATTGACATGGCCAGGGTGAGACCAGCATTAATGGGGATGGTAAAGAATCTGGAAGACTAGAGAGGGATTAACTTGGGTATGGATAAATCTGTATTAATAGGAAAAACAGCCAAGAATAAGGAGAAATCGATTTGGTTACTAAAGGATTTAAAAACGAAGTGTTATCTTAATATCAAAAGTGTTGAAGATATAGTTTTTCTCGATTCACGGCTAAAAAAGTGCCTGCTTAATAGTAGTGCACTCCCCCCGGGCCCTGAATAAGGTTTGGTCGTGGTATCATGATATACTTTCCCTCAGTTCGCGGCGAAAAAATGGTCCCTAAATAGTGGTGTGACAAAGAAACAGTTCTAAGAACTCATCAACAGCCTTCTTATGAACCCAATAGCAATGGCAGACACAAACATAATGCTAAAAACAGTGTTCAATATTCACACTTTCAACTCAGTTTAAGTACAAATTTAATTTTTTCCCAATAAGATAATTTACGTCTTTCGAAAGTGACATCATGGAGGGAACCCCTGAACAACTCATAAATCATGTGTAAAAAATATGTTATCACAATAAATATGAGGTTTTACCCCAAATTTGTGAGATTATTTCATTATTTTTGAGGTATGTTTAGAAAAACCAGTCTTGGCATACATCAGTTCATCATGGCAGTAGCATATCTAAATGGAGGTGCAATTCCCCAGGAAAAGTACTCTTCAGGTACCTCAACAGAAATTTTCTGAGCAAAATAATTACACTCAAGTAGTTAGAGATCACCTCATCAAGTAATTTCCCCACCCTCCCCACATTCCATCACTCATCCTCATCAGTCCCCTTCCCCTAGATATAAAATAGACACCTTTACATCCTATTGCATACCAAGTTATGCACTATAAAAAAATCTTATTAATAGGTTCTCCGGCTTATGATGTACAGTTATTTTTAGTTGCGAGAAAAACTCCTGGTACTTTACATGATTTGAACAAATGACCTTTGATTTCAAAGTTGATCACCTTAATGTTCAAGTTAAAGCTACACTCCTGAAGTACAATAATTAAGCAATTGTGCTTAAAATCTGTTAATGCTATTGCACTCAGACAGACATAACATCACAGCCAATAGCAGAGGGAGTAAATCCAATAGATGGATATCAACACAGCAGAGGGAGGATTTACACTAAATGGATTTGCTTTTTAACAACTCTTTGTGTCCATTGAGCTGTGCTCAGATTACATCTGTAGCATTGTATACACCCACCAGCAATATTTGAGATTTCACAGCTTTGATATCAATAGATATTAAAATTACTGGAAACACTGATGATACAATTCTTGGGTATCACAGAGGTCAATATTTTTTTTTTCCAAAACTCTGCAATGGATTTGACTTATGTGTATTTTCCCCACAAATACATGCATCAGCCAGTGCGTGAAGATTGCGTTTAACGAGTAAATGACCGTTGGTGTCGGTCTCGTCCCCCTTGTCGGTTGTATCCGGCCCTTGACGATCTTGGCGGAAACCTGGAATAAATAAACAGCATTTATCAGTCTCCAAGCTGTTAAAGATGTCTGACAATTCTGGAAAAGCCAATTAAACCATTAAATAAATAATTTAAATATTATACTATTGAATCTTTGTATGGCAACTCACTCCTGCTACAATGTAAAAATCACCTTTAAAAAATAAAACTTAAAAATAATTAAATAAATAAATAAAGGGGATGATTCTGGTGATGCTGATGAGACAATACAATAATAAAAGTAATAAAATTGACTTCAGTATACCTTCCATGATCAACCTTGTTCCCCTGTGTAGACCAATGCCCTGGTCGAAATCCTCCCCTTCCTCTCGTATTTGGTCTTCGCTGGCTTGGTCCACCTCTGCCTGGGCCTAAGCTGCCACGCATCCCACCTCTAGTGCCACCCCGCATGTAGGGATTATCCCGTCCCCTTCCACCTGCTCGGCTTGGAAGGGCCCTGCTGTCTTGTCTATTGTCAGGCCTGTGGAAGAAAGACAAATGACACAAGCATCACAGAACTGATATTTCGATGTAATAAACAATAATTTTATGATTAATTTTCATGCTGCAAATTTCCATGTAGGCACATAACTGATACATGCCAGTAAGATGCATGTCCATGACAATGCTGGTGTTTGCTGTGACCGCTTGATCAGATCACAAACTTTGTTTGAGTCTACATCACTTAAGCCTCTTTCAGACAGAAAATACCGCAATTATACCGTAGTCACGCCGGCGCTATTGCCAGTGTAGACCTTTTCACACAATTAGTAAAAATCCGGTATTAATACCGTATCCTGTCTGAAAGGGGTCCCGTGCGAAATGAGTATTTTGCGTCTGTGCACAAAGAGGGCACAATTTTTTGTTTACTTCATTAATCTAATAAAACAATACCGTAATGGTAATATAAATATTAAAATATTATAATATGTTTTCATGCAAATTCAATACAAGGTTTTTTGTTTTACAACTGGATGGAACTGTCAAAGGTTTGGTCATGCTAAATGCCATGTACAACAGGATTTAATTAAAACCAGGATATTTATAAAACCACAGTTCAGGTATAATTAATATATAACGAAGATTTCCTCGACCGCAGACTATATTGGCAACCCTGATCTAAAAACAACTCTTCTCGCATTCAACAAAATTTTTTCGCACTTTGACCTCTGATTTGTTATGCTTCAATGCGTAAGACGGCAATGAATCGCTACGGTATTAATGTGGTATTTTGACTACTGTAGGTCTCAAGGAGGTCTAACCTAAGCCGGCGTTTAGGTGTATTTACCCTTTCACATAGAATGCCGACATTCGTGAAAAACGGTATTAATACCGTATTGCAGGTCTGTGTGAAAGGAGTATAAGTGTTGCCAAGATAGTCTCCATTCAAATACGTTGATTGATTGATTGATTGATTTATTTATTTTCCACATAATGAACAAAAAAAACATATACATGATCAAACATATTCAACAAATCTACGTTGCTTAACTTTGGTGATCGGATTAGAATGTACGTATAATCTGGTATGGTCTTATGTGCCTCACAAACACTACATATCATACAATATGCAATCACAGTTAAACAATGAATTTAACTCAATCTATTCCCTATTTATCCTATTAATTACAACACACTGTAAGACATGGCATTCCAGTGTTTGATAAATACTTCCATCTTACCTTCGATGGGGGAATCCCCTTCCAGGACCTGATGGATGTGAACCACGCCTATTATCCCACTGGCCACGCCCTGAACCGGGTCTTTGAGAATTGTCTGCAAAAAAGGAATCTCAATATTTCATTGTACAAAAAAATAAATGTGAAAAAAGGTGGAAGAGGAGAGATGGCGAGAGTACACAAGTTATTTACATTACAATTTTTCAATTGATAAACGTTCTGATTTTATTGTACTTACTTCTATCTCCTAACTCTCTTCTGTTGCCATAGCTACTACCACTTGGTCCATTCCATGGACGGTTGCCTTGGAAGCCACCCCTTGGACCTCCTTGACTCATGAAGCCACGCCCATTTCTGTTAGGTGGGAGTCCCTGTAAGAATGACATTAATGTATGAAGGCAAGCGAAGACTTTGAATTACACAAGATCATGAATGCACCTTTACATATTGGAAATCAAAGTTTACCTGACCAATCAGAATGAGTTATTCAATAAGCATGGCAAGAAATATGCGCATGTCCTTCATAAACACAAGTTTACGACTGCAAACTCAGCCATGTTTTTTATACAAATGGCTGCTGTTTTGTGGCAACAATACAATAAGTATGAGTGTAGTAAGGCATCTAATAAAATGAATGATACTTTCGTTTACTTTCATTTACTCATATTATTCAATATAATAAGTATTCATTAATAATAATAATAATAATAATAATAATGATAATAATAGAATGATTAATTGAAAACTATTTTTATTAAAGACATATTTTTTTAGAAGATTGAGCAAATAAACTTGATTAACATTCCCTGTCTTAAACAACCAAACTATTCTCACCTTATTTGGTCTTTTATGCTCTGGTTCCTGTTCCATTGCAACAAAATCATCAACATGCATAGAGGGCGGTCTGCTAGTATTCTGAGGGCGCTGTCTGAAAGTATCATAAGGCCTTCGACTGTAGGAGTTTCCACGAGTCATTCCTGTGTTAAGAAGATATCATGTTTGTGTAGTAATCTGTATTTTACTTTTTGGAACCTACAATTCATGTTAAATTTTACTGACTGATGACAGATTGATTGATTGATTGACTGACTGATATGATGTCAAGTTGGTCGTAGCAAATATTTCAGCCCTGCGGCTAAAAGACAATGGATACGTATGCAAACAGTGTTTAGTTACAAGTTCAAACCTATTTAGCAATGCAATATATATTATCTTAGGGCCTCTTTTATGTTGAGTAACAGAAAAAAAATTTTAATTTCAAACATTGACAGTTTACCATGAGATCTCTTGATTCCACCTCCAGCCCTATTCATACTACCGGTGACCAGTGGACCGCGACGCCTTGACCTAATAACAAAAAAAGGAGATCAGTTTTAGGAATTTATGAAATACAAAAATGCACACAAAGTAATGGTGCTGTTGGTAGTAACCCTAAATTATAATAAGATATGTGAAATACATGAAGTTCTATTCCTACCGTGTAGTTTTCTTCTTTAATTTGTCTGAGTCAGCTGCATCACGCTCAAGTTCAGCTTTAAGGTCAAAGGTCGGCACACATGCAGCCCTCATTTCTTCTAAATCACATGGTACCTGAAAGTAAGCACAGTTTTTTTTCTATAAAAATTCTATAATTTTCTGCCAATTCAAAGATGTTCTTCCACCAAAAAAAAAACCCAGTTCTTAATAATTTACAGAAATACTTAAATGATTTTTTTGCTCTTATTTTCCATTGAAAGTTAATAAAATATACAAATCAAGCAAAATTCAACGTTAAAAAAACATGTTAAGTTTGTGTGAGGGGTGAGCAGACAGGTTGAGAAAATAATCCTCTAATGCAGTACAAGCTGTAATACTGACAAGAGTGCAAAATTTGATTGGAAAAAAAAAAAACAAATTCTTACTAGTTCCGGTTCAATCTCGCCTTCATCCATTCCTGGTACTCCTATCCAGTATGTTGGACTCAAGCGATCATCGTCTAAGTCGCTGACAACATAGACTACTCGCGAGTTCATCTGTTCTGTTAGACTCATTTGGGGCGGTAGGTTGATTTCACCGAGATCGTTGCACTTGGAAGAATCTTCGGTGTCTGACAGTGTCTGTGCAAGGTTTGTAATTGTTTCCAATAAACTTTCTAGAGTCAGATCTTCTTTGCAACACTCCTACAAAGAAATATAAGTTCATAAATACCTCCTAATGTACCAAAATGGTGAAGAATATACAATATGTTATCATTCTCAAATAATATTGTGAATCAAGTGGAAATAAACAAAAAGAAAATTTGTAGGTAAAGTCAAAAAAAGTTTTGATTTATTGACATTTGTTACCCAACATCGGAATTAACATATTATGTGGCACTTATATTTCAAGAAAAGGATAAATTATAAATTAAATTACAAAGTAATGAAAAAGAAAAACACCGTAGCCTGATAGCTGAATGATAAAAGCTTTTTGAAAATGTAGCTTTCTTAGCATCAACAGCCATGTTTATTATTTAATAAATGCTAAAATAATATACTATTAACTATAGTGACAAAATAATTGACTAATAACTAATTCAATTATATTATAAAAAATACAGTTGGCTGGAGTGTAGTCTGAATTGGGTTGTAGTATACATATACCACCTTGCAAATTGAACTCAGAATTGCTGGCAGTGGACCTATTTCAACTCATGCACAAGTGTACAGCATCAACCCCCTGGAAGAGGGTGTCCTGTGCCAAAGAACACTCAGCAAAGCCTGTTTCTGGTATCCCACAAGCACATTAGTGCCCCACCCTGCTAGGGTGTTTACTGCCTCTGTCTCAGACCTTCCCAGGGGTCAATGAAAGCAATTTGCTGCTCGTATGTAACCCCTATTGCAAGCATCCAGCCAACTTGTATTTAATAGCAGAAGTAAGATGTGTTTATATACAACATATATTCAGGTTTTAGTGCTGAACTGGTGTTAGATTTAAACAAATTTAACAAGCAATAAATAACATACTCTAAAATCATGAAAACATTGCCTAATAGGTGTGGATATTATTTTTTTTTTAATATGAAAAAATTCTTAATATCTATTAAATAAATATCATATAAAAACTGTTAAATACTTATATAAGCACAAACTCCTATATACCTAATGAATATTCATGAGCAAATTATTTGTAAATCTCTGCATTGGTTAGTTTAAAAAAATGTTTATATTTAAACAACATTAATCATTGTAAATTTCAATTTTAATAGATTAAATAATTAATAATAACTGGATTTTGATATAAGTTTAATTTATATCTTGTTTGCATAAGTTATGAATATTAATGAGCTGATTTAATCAGTTATATATATGGTGTAAAATAAACAGCCACTTCAAATTACCTCCAACAATTTCTCTAAACTCAGTAGCGGATGTTCGTTGGGATCCCAGCGCAGCCATTCCCTTATTTTGTCCACGCTAATGGTGTATGTGCGGTAAGTGCCGGGTTCGACTTTGACATCTGGATCTGGAGCGGGATTATCGTTGGTCAGTAGCACTTGGATGAGATCAATGGCAGTTGATAGCGTTGAGAGGCAGTCAGAGCTTTCTTTGTTAAATGTCGATTGCAAACGTTGAAAGAGTGCATAGAAGGCAGACGGATTCCGCTCTAAAGCCCTGCAGAAGAATTAAGTATAAAAGTTTATAATAGGTAGTTTTCGCTGCACGACGTTAACCTTAACTTTAACGTTAGTACACAATTTGCAACGCGACAGCTCTGCCCCTTTTGTAAACAAAGCGAAACACACATGCACAAACCCGTACCTAACGTACATTGAGCATGTAAATACTGAAATTAACATACTTCGCAACACAAGATGAATAAATTATGACGTTATTTGTTAAGGTTAATGTCATGCGGTGAACACTACCTATTATTTGCGAAGTACTCTGTTATTGTCCAGATAGTACAGTCTCAAACATGTCTCAAGTTCCACTAAATTTCACTATAATACTTGGCAACCAATATGTTCTGATAGACACTTTCACACTACAAAAATCTACCATTTAATTTACAAAATCAGTGGTAAGTATTTACATTTTTAGATGGTAAAATCCATAGTCATGGTCTAGAAGCATGGTGAGGTGTCTAAGAGCTGGCAAAATGGAAGCATATGATTGGTCTACACTGCTCACATGATCCAACATGGCTGTGCACATTGTCTCCATATGTTCCTTACATGGAAGGCTGTTGGCAAGTTGCTCTGCAACTGGAATGTCTGTTGGTAGAAGGGACACCTCAGGACCACAAAGAACTTGCTCAATCGCCTGAAAGTGTACAATACAGAAAATTAAAACAAAATAAAAGGATGATTACACAATATTGTTTAATTTCATTTTAGTATCTTAAATGAGTTTAAACAAGGCTTTCCACTCTTACAGATACAAATAGTAATTCATGGAATGTATCTATACATATGTCGTATTTCATAAGTGTAGGTAGGTACTCTGCAGTTTCCCTGTTTATTCTGACAAAAACAAATAATTCCAATTAGTTAGAAAACATAAATCCGTCAATGTTGATTCTGGATGAGTGAGAACAACCGACTATTGCAAATGTTCCCCTAACTAGAACACCCCTAAAAAATATTAAATTACCACATTGTCAGCCTCATTATTTTATCTCTCTGTGATTGCAATGTCATGTTAGTTCATCATACAAGAAATATCACAATTGCCTTTTGTTTAATATTTATATCTAATAAGATGTAACCACTAACACAGAAAAAAAACACAACAGAATAGACATTTTTTTTCAGACAAAGAAAATTAAATGTGTATGTAAATTTGATTTGATTATTTCTTACCACAATGCATTCCTGTGCTTGGAGGTGGGAGGATGAGTCATGGGCTACGTTTAATAAAACTAGCAACCGCGACAAAACTGCTAAGTGAGAGTCCTTGGACTTGGAATTACTACTGTTGAGATAGAAAATAGAAAGTGCACGGAAAGAAATGTAATTTGTTTATAATACTACATAAAAGATCTATACAGTTATTTTTAAAATGACAAGAAGCAAAACTGAAAGAAAACTTTGATTTGATCGAAAGATACTGAATTGAATTGAAAAAAAATGGAAAAAATCACATTTGTATACAAGATGAACTTTACATAGTAGTGTGCAAGTTATTAGCATTCTGTTGAAAATTAAACAAAGAAAATGATTTCCTCAAGAATTGAGAACCATATTAATAATACAATGTATGATAGTAGTCAAACATTCCTAACATGTTTACTACTATTTTGTTTAATATAAAAGATTTCTAGACCTCTTTGCTTCCCTACCTTGTTCGGAGCATGTGTAAAATAGCAGCTTTGATGGATGGTTGTGAGACGAGGTAACTTAGCAGGTTTAGTATATGTGCCGTGTTTGGTCCGCAGTGTCGCTCTTTACCATCCTCATCACACTCTCCCTGTGCCTCGAGCAAAGCTTTCAAAACAGCACTAATAAAACAAAATGTGAGATGAATCACAAACTGTACTTCAACTGTATTCACCCATAATTTATGCCCAATACAAAATACAAAACATGAGAATAGGCTGGTGTAATGTATAACTGGCAAGAGGCCCTCAGACCTGTAGCCTGCCAAATAAATCTATGTTTCTGTATTTTTATTCATTTAGTTAAAAACAAAACTGGATGTTTTGTGAGAACAATACAGAGGTCAACTCATAGTTCTCCAGTGGGAAAGATTTAAACAATATAATACTACTATAAATAATATTTTTGGCTGCATTTACCAGCAACATAATGTATTTATAATCTTAATTTACTCATATATACAGGGTTATTCAGTGGATAAATTCTAATAAAAACTGTAATTGACAAAGTGGAAAATCTACTATTATTATCAATAATTATAACATTCCACATGTAAAATAGATATTTAAGTTTAATTTATATCATATTTTGTAAAAGGTAAACTTCCAACCTGCAGGAACTGCTAATTTAAGAAACCTCACTGAAGCATTATAGATGTATAATTATTATCATTATTAATACTAATCAAAAGCAAGATTAAAGAAATAAAATAGATGCATACTGGACAAGGAGCAATGCTGTTGGTGCGGCCAGGTCAGCCAGCTGCATACAGACTCTTCGAAGGGACTGCTGGAGAGGGAGACAACTACTACCTGAAACACAATGATAAACAGGTTGTCAATCAATCAATCAAAAAATCAATCAAAGTAACATATGTACAAATAAACAGTATTACAGACAAAATCAGTTGCTTGTGTTAACAGTGGTTGATTCATGAAGCAAGAGGGCACATACACAGGGTGCACAAATGCCACTACCCTCCATTTTTATGACTTACTTGATATATCTTTGATTATGTTTTGTATTTCTGTACTGAAGCAGTGTAGATAGCAGCTCCACATTTTGCGTTGATTCAAGGCCTGGTTTGCTTCATCTTTGGTTAAATTCTGTACAGCAGTAACAATCAAACAAAAAATAAATCAATCAATTAAAAAACAATTAAATAACATACAAATAATGAATGTTTATGAGTGCAATGGGAAGAATAGTTTCTTGAGTTCAATGGAACAGTCAATCTTTCAACAAATGAAAATATTCGTTTCATTGTACGAATACAAAACATTCATTATTTATTTTATAACACATCTAAATAGATCAGATCGACCTAGGCCTAGCTAGCCTGGCTTAGCCTGACCTAGTTCTATCCTCCGCGCAAAACCTAGGGCTAGGCTGGAAATCCATCAGCACATTTCGGATAATAAGAGCCGAATTCCGTACAGATTTTGCCAAGTTTGAGCTGGTTTTGAGGTATCACCCTCCGGAAAAAGTCAGTCCCACACCTACATGTAATACAATCAAAAGATTGTATTAGGTTGAAGTCATTTTGTATCCATAGGCAACGTGGAATGGATGATTCGGATGGGAAAAAATGCACGACGGAACATTTAAACGATGAGTGATGAAATGGGCAAAATAACTAATGTCACGTGGTACGAAATCAACCAAGCAATAAATCAACATTTAAAGTCTAACATTAAATCAATCAAACAAACATTCATTCAATCAATAATAATATTAAAGTGCCTTACTTCCTGAGTTTGGATTGGTAGAGGAAGGGGAAGCATCTCTGAGAAGATGGTTAAACCCCCAACAAAACTGAGAGGTGATAATGGAATGTATGCAAGTAGTTCCTTTAACATCAATCCCCATGGACTGTTCACCATCACTACAACAAAACAAAAAACAAGCTCAACATATTTATAAACATAAATAACAATGTACACATTGTTACTATAATTTGTTACTTCAAAAGTACAATTGCACATTGTGGAAAAAGTAGAAGTGGTTGGATGCAGTGGAAATGGTTTGGTTTCCTAACCTCAAGGTCAGAGGTCAGGGTTTCAATCCTTCGCTGAGCATTTCGGTTGTGTCCTTGAGCAAGGCACTTCATCTACATTGCTTCAGTCTACTCAGCTGTATCAATGGGTATGAGCAAATTGCTGGGAGTAACTGCAGTGGACTAGCATCTCACCCAGGGGGCCTAGCATCTCACCCTGGGGGATTATCGCACTTTCATCCACTTCATAAACTGGGGATAAGCTCCAGCACTATTAGCCCCATGGCTCAGCAAGGATTTACATCTTACACTTGCCAATTACAGGTGGAGTGATGCTCTATAAACAAGTCTTTTTAAGAGGCTTATCTGTTAACTGTGAAACCACAGCAAATTAGTATTTGAATTTACTAACCTTCTTCTCTGACTGGTTGGTCTGAGACACATGTCGTAAAGGTCAACAGAATATCCAGGATGTTCGACAAGATTGATTGGGTCTCGTTACTAACAACTCCAGCTGATGCTGCTGAACAGTGTAAGGTTGATGACAGCGTTAATAAGTGCGTTACCAGGCGTTCATTTCGGAACTATGGATGACAAATTTCATAAAAATGTGGGTGAGCTATGGTAAATTTACAAAATAGGTGTTAATAGTCATCATTTTGGCTTAATCTAATGAAATTCAAGGTTTTAATCCAAATGCTAGTAACAAGCGTAAAATTATAAATTTTAAATTCCTTTAGATGGGGAACAGGTACACAATTGGCAGGATGGTTGGTCAGTGAATCTACTTCATGACTTGGATGACTAGAAAACAAGTCTTTAGGTGAGATTCACACCAAAAATACTCCAGTCCTGTCCTAAAATTTTAATTCATCGTCAGCTATACCTCAATAGCGCTGCTGCCTAGCAGTTCCGTGACCATTCCATGGATGAGTTTCAGGAGCGGTGTTACCATGGATTCCAGTAGGAATGTACTGGAACAGTTACAGCCTTGTATTAGTTGCCAGGGACGCATCAACAAGTCACCGATTCTCTGATAAAAAAAATCAAAATACATTAATTAAATTAATTCAAAAATAGAATGTAGAGTGTATACATCTGTTTTGTTACTGAATACCAAATGATAAAGAGAAAAAAATAAACAAATAATTATAAGTTATAAAAAAATAATTGTACATATGTATTTTGTAATGGCAAAAATAACATACCTTCAACAGGTCAATGAACACATTCATTGCATCGGCAGAAAACAGTTGAATTGTAGCAAGTTTGTATCGAAGGTCTTTTTGTTGTTCTGCGAATAACATATTTACAACTGAACAGTTTACTACACATCAACATTCTAGTGAAGTCTTAATGTATAATTCCTATATATGAGTAATTTATTTGGGCAAAATAACAAGCCAAGATTCCGTTTATGGAACACCCCTAAATAAAAATGGAACTGTATACGAACCATGCTATTTTTTATGTGTTCAATAACATGAATTTTGGAATATGTCTATCCAGGTAAATGTTTACAAAGTAGGCCATACCATTTATTATTAACAGGAAAATTACACTACCATTATTGATGTTGGTTGAGTGAGATAATTAGACAGACTATATCAATTCTCTATGAAATAGAAACACCCTCAAGAGTACAGAATGGAACAGAATGTCAAGATTTGTTTATGGCGTTTACATGTTCTAACTTAATCTGAGACACATTAGATGATACAAGAAAATGCCAATGAGATAGGTTCATACCTCCACTGACCATGTCTACTGGAGGACAGGCAAAATATTTAAGAACTCGCAAACATGTGACCATTCCTGGGCCTGTTCCTGCCAAATCTCCAGACAACATGGCAGAGTTCTTCTGCATGTACTCTACTAGCTTCTTAATGCTAGTCAGGTCATAAGTAAGATCTTTCACTGGGTCCAACCATTTAATGAATCCTGCAGAGATAAATTGAGTAATGTACTGTTTAAAACAAACTGCTACTTTTTTAAAGAACCAATTTTTGTTTAACTTGTACCTGATTTGAGCCAGTTGAAAATTGTTCTATGTGTAATCCGAAAGTAGACAAAAGGGTTAATGGGTGGGAACGTTAATGAAATTTTTCAATATATGAATTTCTTTACATTTAAGTAAATTATTGGCTTTCAACTGAAATTTAGAATAAGAAAATATTATAATCTTTACCAACTTACAGATGAATTTTTAACATCCCTTTGCAATAGACTAAAGGTCTATTTGATTGCTGGAAAACCAATTAAGAATTTTCATAGTGAAAATTTAATGTATTACATTAATGTAATATTTATGAATTTTGCCAGATTTTATAAGATAGTGTATCATCAAAAGTGATTGCAATTCTCTTTCTATAAATAAAAAATTGAAGTATGAGAGTCTGAGCATTTAGAGATTTGGGTCATTCTTCAGTTAAGTGAACATTTAGTGGTTTAGACAACCACAAAAAAAATATTTCACATTTGAATTTCCTTCATGGAATATGAATATGATTATTATTATTTTATGAATTTATGGTTTTATATACATAGTTTTAAATTTTACATTTAAAAGAGACCAGACATACTTCAAGTTACTTACTTTACGAATTATGGCATTTGGAAAATTGGAGAAATGAAATTAGGACACGCATTTTTAGGGGGTTTGGCAACGTTTTGTTAAAAATATGTTTATTATTTTCCACATTTTTAGATATTACATTCTATCAGAAAATGTTAAAGATTATTTTACAGCAATTTTCCTTTAATACTTTTCATTTTATAGTACCTTAAATTGGCGGGCCATGGTATGACCACTTTACTAAAGAATGACCCACTTAAACATTAAAACATAGCCACACAATATTACCATTTTCTTCCATTGAGCAGTTGAGGATTCTTGCAGAATAATTCTTCAAAACTGTAACATCATCAAGATGCTGGAGAAGGCACTGTAGTAGCTGAGATGCATAACCATAGGCAACAGAGACTAGGATTTTATGATGGACATCCGGTTCATCACCTAGTAGTAAATGTTAAAATCAAAAGTTCACAACCAAAACATTAATACAAGTCAAAACTTTGGTTGATAAAACTAATCTAAAATAATTTTTATTCAGTATAAATTTTGGTGTTCTTCTTGTTTCCGTAAACATAAATATACTAGTATATAAAATTTAAAAAAAAATTAATGATTGTCTTACCTGGTAATTCCAAGAAAGGCAGTAAATAATCCAGGTTCTTATCTAGAGCAAACACTGAAGCAAGGCACATTTTACCAATAGGTGAAAACATCATAGTGTAGGCTGCACCAAGTATCTCAGCCGCCTCCTCTCTCTCATCCTCACCCACTGCTTCGGCGCTTTCCAGAAGGCCTTTCAGCTTGTCCACATACTGGAGCACCTGCAGGCTTTGAAGCAGCTGGAGGCCTAGGCTACAGGACTCATTCGTTTCTGGCGTTTCATCATCATAGCTGCTAGTCAGGACTTGGATGATTGCTTTTGCTGTGGTGTGATTTAAGGAGAGAAACTGGAGGCCTGGAAATTTTGGAATAAGTGGAATTAATATTAGATTTATAATATTCTTAATATGGTAGCGATACAGGATATTAACCCACAATCAGGTCACCCGACTAACAAATCAGGAGTGATGTCAATAGTGGTAGAGTGGGATAACAGTATAAATTGAAAAGTGAATGAGGAAGAGTGTATTTTTAACCATATTTATAGAGGGTGACACTTCCAGCATATCCTAGGTCAGATGATGTTCAAGAACCCTCTCAAATAAATGAAATAATGTGATGCTTTTATCAGTGAAGCCTCTTATGAGGCTCAGGGTGTGGAGTTGTTTTAGTCATGATAAAAGGTTTTGCTGTCACAGGAACTTATCCCAGGAATTAGAAGGCGAGCATCTTAGCCACTAAGCTATTCAACTCCACTCCATTTATATGAATGCTGCCCTCTTTGATTTAATTGCTGAATGAAAAAAACAAGGTGTGACTCGGAACTCAGAAGCTATTCACCTCCACTTCAAGTGTATAAATTGAAGTGCTCCTACACAGCAAGTAGGTGATTCCATTATATTTGACAGGTAGGTTTTGCTAAGAAAATCTAGGAATTTATTGACTGAAGTTAAGAAAACAATGATAATAACAATATTAATTAAATAAAAGTATATTGAATGATAAAGACACAATAACAGCGCTGTAGGCTTTATCAGCAAAACGTACCACTAATTGTTGAAAGTAGAGATTGCAGCAAGTCCCTGATGCCATCAAAGATTCCATCATGAGCACTAGTTTGGGGAGACACCAGCAACATCTGAACACATTCTAGTAAATGACTATTAAAAAATAAAGGTAACAGCAAAATCAACACCTGTGACTTTGAAAGAGTTTATCTCTTTGAATCCCCCATTACGGAAGTACTTTTTAAAAGTAACTAGCAACATCCTTTCAAGAGGTACTATCATGTTACAAAGCATCGGTCAGATGATATGATCAGTAGATTCTATAAGTCAGTGCGGTTAATTTGATACAGTATTTGAACAGATTGTCTGTTGCATATATCAGTTATATGCCCATATATGGATTTGACATCATATGCCATTAATATATGAGAAAATCACAATATTTGTAACCGAAAGCTTAATATTGTTGAAAGACCCTGAATGTGCACTTACAAGAACTATGATTTAGAATTTAGCACAATATATATTTCAAAAATACAGTAATTTAAACCTAACAATCATTGTAACACACCTGCTCTGGAAAAGATGAAAGAGCATTGGATAAGGATCGGCGGTGTTTACTTCGTCAGTCAGTTTTACTGTGGTTGGGAAGGATTTGATGGATGGCTGCACCTGCAAAAGAGAGAAAGACAGGACACTGTGTGATCTCTGACAAATTAATCAACTAAATTAATTTTTACATCTGCCACACACCAGAGCCACTCACCAGTTTGAAATGTGCTGTTCTGATGGTCTCCACAATCTGCTGAAGGCACTCAGCAACTGTCTCAATGTCTTCCACCAGAGAAGATGAAGCTGATTGAAAAGCTGATACCGGTACCATCATTCCACCTATTTCCATAGGTTCTGGTGTGGGCGTGTCTCTTGCAGGCTCCAAAGCTTCATCTTTCGGTGTGCTCTTTTCTTCTGATATAGTCTCTAGTTCAGCTGGTGGTGATGTATCTATAATACTAGATTGACATAAAAAAACCAGTGATTTTTTTGTTTGTTGCCAATTTCAATTTGTTTAACATTAAACTTAATATTAACTTTTCTTTTTACTTAGACTTCCTAATATCAAACCTATTTTCTCCACACATAATTTTAGCAAAATAATGGATGCCATGTATTATCTTAGGTTCAGATGGTGGTGATGCATCTATTATATCAGATTTACATTTTTTCATTGTTGCCATTTTCTATTTGTTTAATATTAAATTTTATATTAAACATTTTAAAGTTTTTAAAACTTCCTTATATCAAACCTACTTTCTCCACCCATAATTTTAGCAGTATTTAACTTACAAAATAAAGGATGCCATGTACTATGAGGTTGTTTTAATTACAGGACTCGAACCAATCCCTCTGGGATTGAAAAACGAGTGTGTCATTGCCAAGCTACAGCGTCACTCCATGTACATACCTTTGGGTGCTGCTCCTTAGCTTGGTGAGTACCTCATATGCATGGACTTTCTGAACGAGGGCGGTAGACGCCTTCATCACTCTCACAGCCTGCTTTGATAAGAGTAGTCCCAGAAGCTTCTCGTAGCCTGTTGACTCTACTTTATCAAGCCTGATTCTTTTAGGTGATGGAGGTCCATGATCACTTTCAGGAGACACTTGCAAGAGGTATTTTAGGCCAACCTGCCAGTTGGTTAAACTGTCCAAGGCTTTCAGAGCAATCAGTTTCAAAGATGATGCCATATGATCAGCAAAGAGTAATTTAAAAAGACTTTCAACAGTAAGCTTAGCCTGTCAATAAGACGACATAAAACGAACGTTTTCATACTTTATATACAAGTCATATCAGTTTCATATAAAAGAAAAACTGTTCTATGTAGTTTGGTCTAGAACAAAATGGCAGAGGATACAGGAGCTGGATTCAATTGAAGCCATATATGTAGCAAATGGCATGGTAAATTAGAAAGTATTCTGCAGCCTTATGAACCCCTAAGCCTGAAGATGATAGGAGGGTAATCCTGCAATTGCATCATATTTTAAAAATGGGTAAATTCTCTGCCATTCTGGCAAAAACTGATCCATGTTCAATTCATTTGGTTTTCTATCATAAGTTTTTTTTGTTTACTTGATCTTGAGAATGTGTCCATGATGGACTCGAAACATTGATCCTTTTATCAATAAATTTTGTGTCAAAGTTATATAGTAAATGTCTGTTGATTCGTATGTTCAATTACTAAGTTCATTATAAATAATGATGTATGTTCACATTTAAATTCCATTTAATTGTAAGAGCAATAAAGAGTTGAAATGAAATTTCAATGTACAGTTATATTAAATGCTTGCAGTACACCATGTAGATAATTCTGAAAGAACTGCTGTTTTTGTTGAGAATGTCAACACGAGTCATTCTCAACTAAAACAATATTTCTTTTCAGAACAATCTACGTGGTGTACCGCAAGCATTTAATACATTATTACTTCACCATGCAAACCTTCAAACAATATCAATGCACAGTACTTAATTATACACATAAAATTTAGAATGTTATTGCAAGCATTTAAAGACGACCCTTCCAACTTCAAACATGCTCTATGATTTGGAAACATGATCATGTGCAATGTGTAGAGTTTAAATCACACTACTTGAAGGCAAATCACATCCCCTACATCATCATGAGCACTTACAATGAGTTTCTGTGCTAGATCAGTATCAGAATCAGCTATTACAGAAACCAGCTTCATCCCTGCTTTCAGTTGTCTTGTGTTAACTGCCAATGGCTGGGTCAGTGCTATGTCCATGTCCAGAGCTTTTATTGACCAGTCCATTACAATGTCCACCAGCTGGTCATCTAGGTAGGCTAGCCAAGGCATCACTAAAGGTTGAAGTTCCTCTAGAGTACTGATCCATCTAGGAAAACAAAGAAATTCTTTCTTTTTCTTGTTTTCCTGTTTACTTATATTTTGTTTTTAGTTAATGTTAATCAATTAGAGGTTTCTACATTTGACAGAACCATATAACTTCAATCAAATTATTTATATCATTATCTATTTACTACCTATAGGGCAACTCACCTGTGAGGGATATTCGAGGAGCTATGGGCTTCTAGTTAAGTCTTAAGCCCAAGTTTAGCTCTCTCATATGAAACAGTTCATCTTCATCATTAGCTCTCCATAGCAAACATATTACCAAGAAAACAGTGTAATTTCATAGATGTGTTAGTTCCTAAGCTGATATAAGTATTTTTACTTACTTTGGTCCATAATCTTCCTCGCTATGACTTCGTACCATATCTGCCAACTTGGTGACCTCTTCTGGAACACTGTCTACAGAGGGCGTCCTTTGTAGCTTAGACTTTAATAGTTGGAATGGTGTATGGTATGGGGCTGGGAAATTCTGAAAGAAAAACAAGCCATCAAATGTAGAAGAAATGGCAAACCTGAGAGTTTAAAGTACTTATATAATACTTAATTTCAATATTATAATACTTAATTTCAATATTGAGATACTTCAAAAAGTTTCAAATATTCTATCATTTGACAGTGTATACACATTTTAGGCATCTGATAAATTGTGTGGCAAGTCTAATCAAAGTTTTTCCAGCTACACACAATCTTTATGGATAGCAAATACAGTAATGTACTGAAATTTAGTTTGATTTATATAGCGCTTTATACAAAGGTCTCAAAGCGCTTGATGGATGGAACAGCTCATACAGTAGCTTCCTTCTCCACTAAGGGTCATTTCTTGTCTGAGCTACCCGGTAAACCACTTGCCTGCCCACCACAATAATCTAAAAGGCATTTATTTTATCATTGATGTTGTGCAACTGTAAATATACTTGAAAACGCATGTCCATGAATTTTAAGATTCAATTGTTTTTACAGTTTTGTCCTACATAAAAATTGTTTAGCTTCGATGAGGAGCTCTAGAAACACTCGGCTGCTTGATTAATAGATCTTTTTTGTATGGGCGGCCGTTAGGGCCAATATACTCTACTGCCTCTATTATACTGCCCTCATCGCAGCTTTCAAGATTACAAGAACTTGTTGTGAAGAAGAGCTACAGAGACATGTCATTAGAATTTGTAGATAACTCCTTGAGTAACTTGCTTCGTGCTTTATACTGTATCCGTATCTTAAGAATTTAGAAACACCACAATGTTGATTAAAAACTCAATATACACCTCAAGTGGTTTGATGAGAGGTAAAGTGTCAAATGGGTCATAGATTCCAATAGTATTCCATCCCTCTTCATCTGCAATCTGCTCAGGATCAAACTCATCCTATTTATTTAATTTTAAAAGATAAACAATACAAGATAAGATAAGATAATACACATCTGGATAATATATACAGTTTTATACTAAAACAGAAATTGTTTGGTACACTTTTTACAGACTGGAAATAAAAGTACATCATAACTTCAGAAAGTTAAAAGTAGAATCTATGACATAAACAGTCAAGAGTTTACCTGTGTCTACTGGTTAATCTCAGATATATGTAAGGCACATACTGCATCCTTGGACAAGTTGTTTCATGCATTTCTCTAATCCTCTGTGCAATAATCCTAATTTAGTGCATGGAATATGACTACTAATTACACACTATTTATTATTTATTCTTATAATAATATCAATAAAGAGCATTACATTAAAATATTGCTTCATACTGACATCCTTTTTTTTCACATTGTTTAATGTGAAAATGTATCAAGATTTATCAACGGTGAAAATAAATAGTATACTGCATTTATTGCAATGCAACAAAACAAAATTTTGAACAGATCTCTTACGTCTTCCATTAAGCTATCTAATTCTTGATCATCTATAACCTCTTCATCACTAACAATCTCCTCATAGGCATGATCCATGCCCTCACCTGGTTCCTCTTCATCAAAACCTGGAGGTACTGAAAAAATTAGAGTAAAATGATAATTCACTAAGTGTACTTACTATAATACACTCCAGTTTTCTCTATAGGTGCACTGTGTGAGGGCATATATAAAGGTGTATTTATGAAGATGTAATTTGGCTAAATTCAATCTGGTTTATACCAACAGACATCATGGTTTAAGTATATATGTGTGGGTATATGTTCATGTAGACATCAAATTAAAAAATTAGTTCATGTAATACAGTAGAACCCTTCCTTTGATTTTAACACTACAGTTATGGTTATTGAGGAACCGGAGTTTCTCTTTGTGATACCAATCATCCATTTCTGAGGGGTGTCTAGTTAATGGACAATGGCAATAGTTAGTATATTAGGGTATAGAAGAAATACGCTGATTGCTTACCATCTGGAATGTCACCTGTGGAAAGGTTCTTACGATCTACAGGTGAGTGCTCAGGTGTCAGTGGTTCAAAGAGTTCTACTTGATCCTCTGCTTCAAGATCTGGCACATCAACAGAAGACTCCGTACTAGCTTCAGTCTTTTCTACCTCTGACGAGGCATCAATGTCTGGGGGTGTGTGGGGTCCAGAAGGTTCCCCTGGAGGAGTCCTAGGCCCCCTGTGCTTTCTATGTTCCTCCCACTGACGTCCATGACGTTCTTCTTCCACCCAGTCACCTTGTTCTCGCGATTCCCAAGTGTCAATGCTTTTCCAGTCTTCTACTCCCTCGCCCCACGGACCCTTCCAATGCACATCTGCAACAGGGTCCTCACTGGTTTCTGGTTCTTTCCACTGTGGGCCACTATCCTCTACATCCCATGAAGTCTCTGCAGTAGGTTTAGGATGCCATTCTTCGGTGACCTCTTGAGGTGGAGTCTTAGGACCTCGCTTAGTATCTTTGCCAAATGCTATTATCTTTTGCTCTTCCTCCGTCATTCTTGGTACTTCTTCTTCCAATTTTATAACCTCTTCGATTGATTTTTTATCCTCACGTCTCCCCTTGCTGTCATCTGCAAAAAAAAGTTAAAAAATGCAACTAAGAATTTCATCAATATATTCAATAATACTACAATATACAGGTCTCACTCCAATTAAAGACCACTTTTGGCACCGGGGGGTTTCCATGGTCTTTTGCAGCTTTGGTCTCTAAAATAATAAAGATAAAAAACTATTGTTAATTTCGGACCACAGAAAAGTGATTGGAGGTTAAAATTTCTTTTATACACAAACCGTATGAACACTTTTCAACATATAATTAATATTTATAATTTTAATATCTGGTATCAACATTTTTCTTTTCTCTGGTGGCCTGAACTGCAAGGGCATTACTAACCTGGCCTCTTCGAATGTGGCTGTTGCTTTGGGGGTGGTGGCGGTGGTGGAGGCGGCGGAGGTGGTGACTCTGATTGTCTTTTCTGTGCAGTCCCAAAGATGGCCAAAGTTACACTTGCATACCTGCCACGAACAACAAGTCCATCCGTGGGCAGCTGAAGCAATCAAAAAAATGTGTTACAGAGCTTAATTAATTCAAACAAAAGTGACTCTAGATTTATTTATAGTGTACTCAAAATTCTGAATTTTTATTTGTTTTGTAATTTTTTTTATATTGTTATTTTAGTGTAATTTTAGTGTATTTTCATATTTGTTGTTTCTATCTATATTTTTTTGTATCTATAAATTTTATGTGACAAAATTACGTGATTTGCAGAAGTATGGTCATGATGATGTCATATCTACACCCATATATGGCCAAATCACAGATATTTGTCACATAAAACCTTTAATAATAATGATGAACATACCTTTGTTTTAGGAACCAGCTGAATTTCTCCACTATCTTGATAATGGAACGACCCAATACGTTCAAACACAGCAGCTCCATGGTTGTTCAAGTTGTTTGCGAAAAATTCTAGTGTGAATCCCCCTGGCTGTGTTTGGCTTTGCAGGAACAGACATAAATACAACATAGGTTTATTTTGATTAAAGTGCAGTTAATACTTAAACAATAACTGTTGCTAATTAATAATTATATTATTATGTGAATTAGCAGAGTACTGTACATATTTAAAAAATGGTACATCATTATTAATATTACTTTCTTTCCTTTCCTAAAAAAATTTTTGAGAGGTAGGCTTTTTTCCATTTATAGTAATTTCAAAGGCAAGAACGGGTATTTCCTCGACAATACAATTAAGAATACAGAAGGCCACATATCCTTGACTTCAGCATTAGTTCGTTGGAAATGGCTTTTTGCATGCCCACTATGCTATATCAAAATTCAGTTTATGTTGTTGTTACATGGTGGGAAAGTGGACTGGAATTGATTTTAGACCATGATGACATTTTTCCCTCCTACAGTACATACTGTAATTGGTTGGTATCCAACAAATCATGGGGTAGCACTAAACAATTAATTACAATGAATATTACAAAATTTGATTGATGTGGCAGAGAAAATGGTACAGTTATAATCTTTCTTCTGTTGTTAGTCTACTTACCCGACAGTTGGTACCTTATGTAGATCAGGATGGACTCTTGCACCCCACGGTATTACTCGGATCTCTTGCACATTCACTGGCCAAGTAAATTGAATTAGGTCGAGGTTAGGTTCCTTCCAAAATAAATTGATATGTCAAAATTACTTTACTGTAAAAAAGATGCACTTCAAATTGGATCTTATATGGCCTACAGATATACAGTAGGCCTAGTCATACAGCAATGCATGTTATCTTGTATATGGTTGTATAGTTTTTATTTATTCATTTCCTTATTATATTTAATTAACTTCTTTTTTTTCAGAACAAGCACATGTTAATAATTGATGAGATTCAGGCAGGCAGGCTAAAAAACGCACTGAAAATTGCTGCAAAAATCACAACAAAAATAATAAGTGTGCAGAAACGTAAACACTGTGAATGAATTTGTTATATATTGAAACAGAACATTAACAAGTTTGAGCATCGGATATAAAAACAATCGGAAATTAATGCCAAAACATTTTTAGTCTAGACCTAGGCCTTGGATCGTCCCCTGCAACCATCATTATGGTCAGCCAATGGACTGCGCCCCGGATATTTTGATCAAGCGCCATTAAAATACTAAGCCTAGCCTAGGCACACAATAGACGTTCCTAAAACCTATATGAAAAGCAACGTTAGTAGATATGTTCATGTTTGTAACTATTTAATTGTATTTTGCAAAGTATAATGAACTTACTTTAGCATTTTCATGGCTGAAAGTGTCGCAAAATAACAAATTCATCGCACCATTTTCCGCCATGCCCACCGATAATCCATTACATTTAGCTAGTCTGTTATAGTCGCTCGTTCTCAGCTGTTATGTGGTAGATTTCTAGTATCTTTGGGTAGACGTAAACTCTTTAAGCGTGAATAAAAAGCAATTACCGATTTTAGTGACTGGAGTAACTACCCTAGCAATAACATGAAAGTTCACTTAATTCAGCCCAAACAAAAGCAAAACTTGTACTGTACGAATTGCTTTATTATTTACACTTCTTCAGAATATATAATACAAAAATTATGTCCGATACCTTCTCGAAATTTGTCCTAGTTCTGAACATCTCCTACAAACAAAACACAGGCAAATTTCTGTAATCTAAATCGATTAAATTTACATTTAATCAAATTCCTTTTGTAATAATTTTTTTGAAGATTTTCATATTATACATATTTATATTAAACACATACAGAAAAGGTAATAAACAGAGTCGATAAAAACAAAGTGACCCACTATAATAAGTAAGAATTGAAAATGAAATCTACTAGCATCGAAAAATATCAAATAATCAGCGGTGGCTCATCAGCTAAAATATTCTATCACCAATTATGCCTATACAGTAATTGTATTAGGCCTACTTTAAATTAAAGCCAAAGCGTATTTGATATTGAGACGATGGTTTAAATATGGCTAATGAATTATTATTGTAAACAAGTGAACACATCATTTTTACCATGGCAACAATAAACTAAAGCTAGAAAGTATAAATAGGCACGATTGGCTTATAAAATCAAACAAACTCACTGTGTTTCAAAGCATAACATCAGGTACCGGTAAGAGTGCATTTAACATCTTATATCATTTGATAACTAGTATGTTATCGAATATTTTATTTTTTATTTTTTTTAATTTTTTTTTTTGGGTGTAAGTTATGACAATAATGTCATTCTAATGGTGGATAGGATCTCAGCGTTATATGTTTCGTTTGTGGATCCGCCCTTAAGTACAATGTTCTCAGCATTGTTGCCGTTGTTCTTTCCTTTTGTATACAACCCCCTACAATTATTCTAAAGAGCAAATAAGTTAACCATTTTTGGACCAAACCAAATCAGTTCTGCTAAATTATTGCCGGTAATTTTATTAATCTTTATATTAGTCACGTTTCTGGATCCGCCCTTCAGTACAATATGTTTACGTTCTTGCTGTTGTTCAATTCATTTGATTTCAGAAGTCAGTTTCAAGTTACTTGGTAGCCGGTTTCAACATTCAGTCTTTTGCATACGGTGGTGTGTCTGTCTCTTATACACATCTAGATGTGTATAAGAGACAGGCCCTGTGTGACGTGGTACACTGATTATGAATACAAGAGTGAATACAAGAGTGCACAAACCCAAAATGAGTGTGCTGGGGGAGGGGTGGTGAAGTGTGTGATTGTGGCTTGGTGGTCTGCAGTGATGTAAGCAATCGAAGTCACAATATTACTTAAGAGTAAAACACATGAATTAATTAAAATTCGTAAGAAAAATAAAGGTCTGTCTACGTCATGTTCATTAGTTATCATACTGTACATAATTTAACTTTCGGTCTTTGTTACCATGCATAAAGTATAAAATTATAGATGAGACGTTTTAAAGCCGTTGGTCCTGTGTGCATTATGGCCCATGTACACGTGTGCATGTATCTCTCCTCCACAAAGAGGAGGGATCAATTGTCTCCCGGTGTACTTCCCAGTCACAACCAGAAGGACCCCACTGGAAGTAAGTCTTCTTCATACTCTCATCGGTTATTCTTGGTGTATACACCGAATAAATCCAATTCATGTTGAAACTCAATGAAATGCACAGCCATTGATGTCACACACTGCTATCCTCAAAACAATTTAATCTTCAATTAAGCTATTCCCAATATAATTCTCCCTCCAAATTAGGCTACTGGGTCCTATTTAAAAATAAGGTTGAAATAAAGAAGTAATTATTAGTAATTATGAGGGTGGTTTGGAATAACACACCAACATTTTAATGCATTTCAATTGTTATAAAAAAAAATTCGTCATCATTTCCATGACAGCCACAACATTATTTATTAAATGCATGTAAGTAGACCTATATTTCTTTCTGAAAAGAACAATTATATTGTTGAGAATATTTATCGACGTTTAGAAGAAAATTAGTTTTCTCCAAATGACGATAAGAATTAAGAACAGCAACTTCAAAAACACGACCTTTTCTTCAGCTCTATGCTGAAAACTACCGCACGCATTTACTGGTTATTAGGTCTATTGTTTAAGATCTAATTAAGCTAAAATATACTATCACCAATTATGCCACTCGATGCCTATACAGTAATTGTATTAGGCCTACTTTAATTTAAAGCCAAAGCGTATTTGATATTGAGACGATGGTTTAATTTTGGCCAATGAATTATTATTGTAAACAAGCGAACACATCATTTTTACCATGGCAACAATAAACTAAAGCTAGAAAGTATAAATAGGCACGATTGGCTTATAAAATCAACAAACTCACTGTGTTTCAAAGCATAACATCAGGTACCGGTAAGAGTGCATTTAATATCTTATATCATTTGATAACTAGTATGTTATCGAATATTTTATTTTTTATTTTATTTATTTATTTTTTTGGGTGTAAGTTATGACAATAATGTCATTCTAATGGTGGATAGGATCTCAGCGTTATATGTTTCGTTTGTGGATCCGCCCTTAAGTACAATGTTCTCAGCATTGTTGCCGTTGTTCTTTCCTTTTGTATACAACCCCCTACAATTATTCTAAAGAGCAAATAAGTTAACCATTTTTGGACCAAAGCAAATCAGTTCTGCTAAATTATTGCCGGTAATTTTATTAATCTTTATATTAGTCACGTTTCTGGATCCGCCCTTTCAGTACAATATGTTTACGTTCTTGCTGTTGTTCAATCCATTGTGTTTTTTTCAACTACAGATCAGATCATTTTTGGACCAAACATGCATGTCGCTAATTTTATTAATCTGGATATTTTGCCAGGTTTCTGTTAGAAGCCATGCGATTGTGTGTTGTTAGAAATATTTTATTTAAAATGATAACATTTGTATAATATCGATATTTAATAACATTCATTTTTTTTGCAGACGATCACCATGTCAGTCAACGTTACTGCACCTAAATTTGCCTACGGACCCCTCACTTTAGCATTCATTGTCGGCTTGTTCTTATTATTAATTGTTCTGATTTTAACACTGAATGCTCTTATGATTGTCTCTATCATACGCAAACGCGAGCTTCTTGAGAAGCCGACTAACGTCTTGATCATCGGACTTGCGTTCAGTGACTTTGTAACAGGCTTTGTAGGTGTACCAGTATACATCCCGAGTGTTGTAACTGGGAAGCAATTAGAAACTATGGATAAAGATGACCCAAACCTACTGGTTATTATAATATGTATATCGATGTCTATTGTATTTCATTTGCTTTTGACTATCGATCGATATATATCGATTGTGTATCCGTATCGGTATCTGAATATTACTGCAAAAAGGACGGTGTTTGTGACCTGTGCGTCTGCGGGCACTATCATTTTTCTAATTGGTCTTAGAACCTTTGTAGGAGGTCGTTTTGCATTGTTATGTTTGCTTGTCCTTGGTATTTCTCAACTGCTGATGCAAATAAAAGTAATGAGTATTGCAGTGAAGATGTCAAAATATCGGCAAAATGATCAGACATCCAGAAATGAGTTGAAAGCCATCAAGATGACTATATTGATCTTCATTGCATATGACGGATGCTTTCTTCCAAAGTTTTTCTTTATAGTCTTGCAACAGTCAGCCTATCAGTTAAGTTTATCAATTCTCACCATGCTTCGAGTATTGACCGATATAATTTGGATAAGCAATAGTATAGTGAATCCCATCATTTGTGCCATGACTAATTTGGCAATAAAGAAAGCATGTAGGGAAGTTTTCAACATTATATTAAAAAAACACAGCGTGCACCCTCTAAGAAATGGAGATACTTAGGCATATCTCTATTTCTATTTGCTAATGACTGGATGATGGCTTTGCACTCGTAAAAGAACTCAGTACTAATCAGACAAGAGTAAGATGGTGTAAACCCACTAATATAACAATCATCCACTTTCAACTAACCACGTTGTAACAAAAATCAACCACTGTTGTAACATCAACCACTGCCCTATAATTCACATTTTTCGTTAGCAACAACTTGCCAACGACATGCATTTATACGCTTCCATCAGAGCAGTTGTGCAATAAAACGTTTGATTTTAACCCATTAAATATCTTTATAATGAACAATGTTCCCCTGATTAGATTTTTTCGGGCTTTTGGTATGTTATTATTTGTATATTTCAGGAAGGGATTCCGTAAAATATTTATGTTAAAATTACTACTGTGTTCATTATAATTTTCTCTAAAGATTGACTGGTTCGACTATAAAGCTAAGTCAGCGTAAAACCGAAAAATACTCAGATTTTGAATTCATTTTTCAAATAGTTAACACTCGTTAACCCTAAAATGACTTAGTTTATTATAATCCTTAATCATTTATTAATTAATATCTGTTAAAATTAGAATTGGCGAATTTTGGCCAATTTATGAAAATTTAAGTTGAAATATACTATACTTTTATAGGTCATGTAAATGTTCCATTAAATTCGAAACTTGTCTTGGTGAAAATATTAATATGTTTGATATTTTATGAGAGATAAATGTATCAGCTTCAAAATAGAAAAGATTGCGCAGCCATAGTGGTTGAGAGTATGTAGTGCGCATTGAGAAAAGAAGGTGCTCTCCATTTCGTCATGTTCAATTTTTTGGTCAACTATGCCTCCTGAAAATTTGATGGCGGGGAACACATGGGACTTCAAAGGCATCGCGCAAACGTTCTTTACGCGCTGCGGCAACTTTGATCTTGGTTCATTTGCATAGCGCTGCGTGCGCGTAGCTTTGGTTAAACAAATCACGGTATTCAATTATATATTCAGAATAATAATTAGCTACATTTACTCCAGATTTCAGAGTTACTATAGTTGGTCAAACTTATTGTCAAACAAATCAATCTATCTATTTAACATTCAGCATAATAATTACCTATATACATATAGTCTACATGAAAAGTATTTGGTTCATTTCTGGTTTTGTT